GGAGTAATCGAGTGCGATTACTCCGTGTATCCAGTTTGCAGGTTCCAATCGGAATCCAATTATAATTTGCCTCGGATACACGGAGTAATCGATTGCGATTGCTCTGTGTATCCAATATGCAATGCAGGTTTCAAAAGGAATCCAAGCATAATCTGCTTCGCATGCACGGGGGAATCGAGTGCGATTTAACCGTGTATCCAATATGCAGGTTCCAATGGGATTCGACTTAGAATCTGCATCGGATACACGGAGTAATCGAGGTCGATTACTCCGTGTATGCGGGCGCCAGGAGGCGTCGCCGGTTTGTTGTTGTTGTTGTTGTTGCTGTTGTTATTGTTGTTGTTGTTGTTGTTGTTGTTGTTGAACATTATTAATTCTAAAGAATAATTATTGTTGGGGCCCCTGGTGCACGGCCCCCCTGCGCCGCCTAGGCCGCAGCTACATTTTCATCATTTTCGTGAGGAAGCCTCAGGTAATTCGATGTGATCAAGATCCGGTTGTTTTGTTCCCCCCCGCTTTCCCTTGCAAAAAACACTATAAAATGACATTTCTTGTTCTAATATAATCAAATTTCAAGAATCCCTTGCAAAAAATAAGGTAAAGTGGACATTCGCGCGCGCAAGACGAAATCCTTCCAAAAGCTTAGTGTTCGGAGCGATTTTAACATAAAAACATCAAAAAACCAATGGTTTTTCAACAAAAAAATGTCAAAATCTCATCCCGCGCGCTCTTGCGGATTCGTAGGAAACCCAACACTTTTTAAACATTTCTGTCAAACGGGCTTTTGCGAGCAACTTTTTCGAACTTCTGCGACAACGGTTGCGCACCTGCCAGGGCCATCATCCCTGTCAAATAATACCATGCGGGACACATTCGTTTTTTCTTCGCGCGCGCACGCCGAAATCTCCAAAAACCATTGGGTTTTTAAGAATTTTAGCACCGCGCATCATAAAATCACACGAATCGCACCGTAGGTCCTCGAAAAACACCTGCACGACTTTTCAAAATTTCCACCCGCGCGCGCTGTCCGAATCCTAAAAAAGGCTTAACAACTTCTGTGGGTGTACGAACGTAGGCTTAACAACTTCTGTGGGTGTGTACTCCACGCCAGTGTAGTAGCCACGGTCGTCCGCAGGCCACGAAGTGAAGTGTCCGAACGTCATAGGGCGGGAAGCTGGGTGTGGGTGGTGGCGAAGAGTCGTGTGGATATTTGGTAGAGCTTGCACTGTCCCCCCACAAAGTGGGGGTATTGGCTGGCGTCGCATGAAAACCCTGGCTGGCACTGGTGAGAACACTGAGCGTTCGGGTAAAGTGATTGTTGTTGTTGTTGTTGTTGTTGTTGTTGTTGTTGTTGTTGTTCGTGTTGTTGTTGTTGTTGTTGTTGTTGCTGTTGTTGTTATTCTTGGTGTTGTGGTTGCTGCTGCTGTTGATGTTGTTGCTGCTGCTATTGGCATTGCGGGACGCACGCTTTAGCAACCCGCCTGCTCGACCTGGCTTTCTAGGCCCGCTTTCCCGACCCGCCCGTTAGGGTCTACCCGCCCGATCTGCCCGTCTGGTCCTGCCACGTGCTTTCTGCTCCTAACCCCCCTCCTGGTATTGTTTTCCGTGCTCCATCTACCTCCCTCCCCCTTGTCCCTCCCTTCCATCCGTCTTCCCTTTTTCCTGCCTTAGGGACTGCACGACATACACACGCTGCAGGTAAGGGAGCTACACCCCGAAGGGGGTACGATCGAAGACGAAGAGGGCGGGTATCGAGGGTTTGGGATACACGTGTTGAGTGGCACGCGAGCAGGGAAGAGCGAAACATCTTGAACTGAGTGTTGTTGATGCTGCTGCCGTAGTTGAATTATCTTTATAGCGGGTAATTGTTGCTGGTCGCCCTCTCCACAAGTGCTTCTCCCAGGGCTCGCACCCGGTTTCTAACAAGGGGAAATCAGGTGTCACCAAACTGGGCTGTCGACCCCCAGTTCACAACAATAACGGTTCTCGCTTGAGTTGTTCTCAATTTATTCCCAGATCGCGCTCCCCCGCGCTTCCTCGCATTTTTTGCAGGAGTCGCGTTCTCGCGTGGGACTTCGTCGCAATGTATTCAGACGCCGCGCCCTCGACATTCTGGACTCACGCTCTCGATGTGGATGCCCTTGCAAATGATTTGGGGATTGTGTTGTCGCTCGAGATTTCCTCGTGATACATGCAGTCGCCAAGCTTCAGCAACCCGCCTGCTCGACCTGGCCGCTTGGGCCCGCCTTCCCGACCCGGCCGTCAGGGTCTACCCGCCCGATGGGCCCGTTTGTCTCTCGTGTTATATTTTTTGAAAGAGCGCCAATGGATCACCCTGTAGTTGAAAAAGGGGGGGGGGGGGCTGTCCGACCTCCCCCCCTCGCCCCCTTCAAAGGGAGGGGGAGATTTTCGACCACCCCCCCTCCCCCCTTAAAGGGGGGTGGGGGGGGTCCGACCCCCCCCCTCTCTCCCTCCCCGTCCCTCCCTTGGCGCTGGAAAGGGGTGGGGGGGTTCGACCCCCCCCTCTCCTCCCCGTTCTTTGCGCCGAACAGGGGGCCGGGGAGACGGCCTCTCCCGCAAAAAGGGGGGGGGGGGCTGGCCTCGGGATAGTGAGTAGTGAGTAGTGAGTAGATAGTAGTGAGTAGTGAATAGTGAGTAGTGAGTAGTGAGTAGTGAGTAGATAGTACGGAACAGTGAGCAGTGAGTAGTGGGCAATGAGACGTGTTTAGTGGGTAGTGAGTATTCAGTATTGGGTAGTGAATAGTAAGTAGTGAGTAGGGAGTTGGGAGCAGTGAGTAGGGAGTTGTGCGTAGCGAGTAGTGTATAGTGAGTTGCGAATAGGGGACTGTGAGTAGTCAGTAGTAAGGAGGCAGTTGTCACTAGTGCGTAGCGAGCAGGGAGTAGCGAGTAGTGAGTAGTGAGTAGTGAGTAGTGAGTAGGAAGTAGGGAGTAGTGAACAATGAGTAGTGAGAAGTGAGAAGTGGGTATTGAGTTTTGGCAGTGGGTAGTGCGTAGGGAGTAGCGAGTAGTGAGTAGGGAGTAGTGAGTAGTGAGTCGTGAGTCGTGAGTAGTGGGTACTGATAGTGAGTAGTGAGTAGCGACTTGTGACAAGTGACTACCGAATAGGGAGTAGGGAGTAGGGGGTAGTGGGTAGTGAGTAGCGACTAGTGCGTCGTGGGTAGTGCATATCGCGTAGTGAGTAGTCAGTCGTGCGTAGTCCGTAGTGAGTAGTGAGTCGTGAGTAGTGGGTAGTGAGTATTGAAGAGTGAGCAGTGAGTAGCCTAGCGACTTGTGAGTAGTGACTAGTGGGAGTAGCGAGTAGTGAGTAGTGAGCTGCGAGTGCAGTGTAGGGAGTAGGGAGTAGCTCGTAGCGAGCAGCGGATAGTGAGTAGTGAGTTGCAGGCAGTGGGCAGTGAGTAGTGATGTGTGAGTATTGCGTAGTGAGTATTGGATAGTTGTCAGTGGGTAGTGATTAGTGCTTAGTGAGTAGTGAGTAGTGGGCAGTGAGTCGTGTTTAGTGATTGTGAGTATTGAGTACTGGGTAGTGAGTAGTGAGTAGTGAGCTGGGAGTACTGGGTAGGGAGTAGTGAGTAGTGGGAGCGCAGTGCGTAGTGAGTAGTGGATAGTGACTGGTGCGTATTGGGTAGCGAGTAGGGTGTAGGGAGTAGCGAGTAGTGAGTAGTGAGTAGTGAGTACTGTGTAGTGAACAGGTAGTAGCAAGTAGTGGATAATAAGCAGTGAATTGTGGGCAGTGAGTAGTGAGTTGTGCAGTGTGAGTAGTGAGTAATGAGTAGTGGATAGTGGTTAGTGGGTAGTGAGTATTGATTTGTGATTAGTGCGTAGTTGGTAGAGAGTTGTGTTTAGTGAGTAGTGAGTAGTGAGTACTGAGTAGCGGATAGTGAGTAGTGGGTAGTGGGTAGTGAGTAGTGGGTAGTGAGTAGTGATTAGTGAGTGATGAAGAGTGAGTAGTGAGAAGGGAGTCGTGAGTGGCGAGTAGTGAGTAGCGGGTAGTGAGTAATGCGTACTGAGTAGTGAGTACTGTTTGGGCCTAGGGTTAGGGTTCGGGGATAGGGTTGGGGATCCGGGTAAGGTTGAGGATTAGCGTTCGGGGTGGTAGTGGTTGGGTTCCGGAGCCCGGGGGCGCCGTGGCGAAAGGGGGTGGGGGTTGAATTTGGCGGCCAAAACGGAAGAGGGGGGGGGGGGAGGGTTCGGACCCCCCCCCGTCCCCATTTTGAAAGGGGGGGAAGGTGGGGGGGGTTCCCCGACGACGCATCAGGAAAAGGGGGGAAGGGCGGGTGATTTTCCCGACGACGGATCGGGAATGGGGGGGGGTCCCGACGACGGATCAGGGAAAGGGGGGGCCCCCCCCCTCGGGGAGATCCAGCGGCGCACCCTCATATGTTCTCCTTCCCCCTTGTCCCTCCCTTCCATCCGTCCTTTCTCTTCCTGCCTTAGGAGCTGCGCGAAGTACACGTTGAAGGTAATTCATGTATATATATATGTGTGTATGTATACACACATACCCCCAGGGGGTACGATCGAAGACGAAAAGGGTTTGTATCGTGGTCTAGAAATTATTGTTGCTGTTGCTGTTGCTGTTGCTGTTGCTGTTGCTGTTGTTGTGGTTGTGGTTGTGGTTGTGGTTGTGGTTGTTGTTCTTGTTGCTGCTGCTGCTGCTGTTGTTGTTGTTGTTGTGATTGTTGTTGTTGTTGTTGCTGCTGCTGCTGCTGTTGTTGTTGTTGTTGTTGTTGTTGTTGTTGTTGTTGTTGTTGTTTTGTTGTTGTTGCTGTTGCTGTTGCTGTTGCTGTTGTTGTTGTTGCTGTTGTTGTTGTTGTTGTTATTATCGTTGTTGTTATCGTTGGTGTTATCGTTGTTGTTGGTGTTGTTGTTAGATTCGTGGTGCAACAAGCTCCCGCCAGTAACCCCCCCGCTTTCAGTTTGACGTGCAGGACCCATCGCTGACGACGCTATTCCTTTCCCTCTCCCCTTTTTCCTTGGAGGTGAAGAACTCATCGATGACGATGCTGTTCCCGGTGCTGACGTGTTCGGAGCTGAACGACCTCGAGGTCAAGCGGAGGGGTCTCGCCACTTCACGTTGCACCTTTGTGCAATTTCCCATTGTCTTTCCATGCCTTTCTTCGCTGTTTGATCTCGCGCATGTCCCTTCAATGGGAAGGGAGGCAGGGATTGACATTTATGGGTGTATCGAGGAGCGGTGAAAGTAGGGGGATGCAGGGATGTTGCTGAAACGTGAGTGCAGCTCCCTCCTATCGCTCGTCCTGCCCATTCTCCTTCACCTTGCCCGTGCCCCGTACCTTTCCAATGTAGGTTGCCGGGGGACAGCTCACCCCTCCTTCCTCCTCCCCTGCCCCTCCCCCTCTTTCTGTCTCTCTCTCGTCTCTCCATTTCTCTCCCAACACCGCAGTGTGGAAGGATAAAGCTACCACCAGAGTGGTGGACGGTTTGTTTTACTATTGATTGAGCTTGCCCGTCGCAGACTGGACGCGGTCCACACTTCACAAATGCTGGGGCCCACTTGGATTTACAAATGCGGAGCCGACTTGACTTCATCATATTGCTGTCCTGCGCCATCCGTGTGGTAAGTTAAGTGATCGCCTCATCGGAAGCAGGCCGCAGTCCTAGTCCTCAGCCCTTTCTTTCTCTCTCCCCGCCGTTTGCGCCCCTCTCCCACTTCCGTTTGGCCCCCCCCCTCCCCCCTTCACCCCATTCCGCTTTGAAACTTCCAAGATTCATTCGGCTTTGCCTCGAGGACTTGTCCATTCAAGCGAAAGGTTTTGCTTGAAATGACAAGACACACGGTTCGTCGTTCAAAGCGCACGGCAATGTTGGACGAAACAGGAGCAGTGGGTACGTCACATTATTTTCACCGTCACGGATGTATCATTTGACCTCCCACCACCACCATCTCCACCTATCGACCTCCTATATCCGACGGCCCAGCATTCCGACCTCCAGCGTCCATCATTCGACCTCCCACCACCACCATCTCCACCTATCGACCTCCAGGCTCCGACGGCCAAGCATTCCGACCTCCAGCGTCCATCATTCGACTTCCCACCACCACTATCTCCACCTATCGATCTCCAGGCTCCGACGACCCAGCATTCCGACCTCCAGAGTCCATCATTCGACCTCCCACCACCACCATCTCCACCTATCGACCTCCAGCCTCTGGCGGCCAAGCATTCCAGCCTCCAGCGTCCATTATTTGACCTCCCACCACCGCCATCTCCACCTATCGACCTCCAGGCTCCGACGGCCCAGCATTCCGACCTCCAGCGTCGATCATTCGACCTCCCACCACCACTAGCTCCACCTATCGATCTCCAGGCTCTGACGGCCCAGCATTCCGACCTCCAGCGTCCATTATTTGCCTTCCCACCGACACCGCCATCTCCACCTATCGACCTCCAGGCTCCGACGGCCCAGCATTCCGACCTCCAGCGTCCATCATTCGACTTCCCACCACCACTAGCTCCACCTATCGATCTCCAGGCTCTGACGGCCCAGCATTCCGACCTCCAGAGTCCATCATTCGACCTCCCTCCACCACCATCTCCACCTATCGACCTCCAGGCTCCGACGGCCAAGCATTCCAGCCTCCAGCGTCCATTATTTGACCTCCCACCACCGCCATCTCCACCTATCGACGTCCAGGCTCCGACGGCCCAGCATTCCGACCTCCAGCGTCCATCATTCGACCTCCCACCACCACCATCTCCACCTATCGACCTCCAGCCTCTGGCGGCCAAGCATTCCAGCCTCCAGCGTCCATTATTTGACCTCCCACCGACACCGCCATCTCCACCTATCGACCTCCAGGCTCCGACGGCCCAGCATTCCGACCTCCAGCGTCCATCATTCGACTTCCCACCACCACTATCTCCACCTATCGATCTCCAGGCTCCGACGGCCCAGCATTTCGACCTCCAGAGTCCAACATTCGACCTCCGACTACCACCATCTTTACCTATCGACCTCCAGGCTCCGACGGACCAGCATTCCGACCTTCAGAGTCCAACATTCGACCTCCCACCACCACCATCTCCAACTATCGACCTCCAGGCTCCATTGCCCAGCAATCCGACCTCCAGCGTCCATCATTCGACCTCCCACCACCACCATCTTCGCCTATCGACCTCCAGCCTTCGACGGCCCAACATACCGACCTCCAGCAATCAACATTCGACCTCCCACCACCACCATCTCCACCTATCGACTTCCAGCCACCACCAGCGCAACATTCCGGCCTCCGGCCTACACCCTCCGACCTCCCACCCCCGTCTCCACCCACTGTCCTCCACTCTGCACCGACTCAACACCCCGACATCTAGCCGCCAGCACCCGACTTCCCACCTACTCCACGAGCTCCACCGACGAACGGCACCAGCGACAATATAGCAACACCAGCAGCCTGACCAACAGAGCAAAAAGGAGGACGAGGAGTCTACAACAAACGTCGACGGCGACGTCCCAACCAGCATGAGGCGCTGCACTCCACGAGGAAGCGACAGCGGAGACAACCATACCTGCAGACAGGACGTTGATGACTCAAATATCGACTGCAGCCGTATCCCACTGACCATCATTTACAAGAATGCGAGAAGTCTTACCACAGACGATTCCATCGACACATTCATTTGTGAGCTGGAAAAGGTGACGTGGGACATCGTGGCCATCAATGAAACCTGGAGAACGACAGCTCGCGAAATGTGAACAACCAAGCTGGGATCTCATATGATTGCGGCAGCTGGCCACGACACCGCCTCACGAGGTGTCGCATTCCTTATCCATCGACGGCACTTGCGTAACATCAAGAGCTTCACGCGGATAAAAGAGCGCATCGCCTACATCGATCTCGACATTTCCACTTCCAGGCTACGACTTGCAACTGCGTACTTCCCACATTCCGAATATCCCGACACCCACGTCCAACAGATGTACGATTTCTTGAATACAATGCACGACGAAGCTGGCCGCTATAGGCGCATTACAGTCATTATTGGGGACTTCAACGCGCAAGTCGGCACACAACCAAACAACATGGACAATGAGCTCGACGTTGGCACGAAACAGAAGCTGACGGTGGGAACATACGGACTGGGGAAGTGCAATGCGCGCGGGACATGGTTCAGAGCATGGGCAAGCGCACAACGCATGCTCATCACACATACTTTCTTCTACAAGCATCACCGCAATACCTTCATGTATACTGGCAATGGAGATAGTACGACCCAGTCACACATCGATTACGTACTCGTAGATCAAGCATACCGCACCCAGCTCACATATATATATATATATATATATATATTCACACGCCACCACCACGCCAGACCTCGGCTCCGATCACGAAGCTGTATGCATGAATCTTGTTCTCATTGCCAGCGCGGGGAGGAAGCGGAGGAGGAAAAACGTTGATTCGACCATCGGCTGTCACACCCACACGCCGCCGACCTTTCCTACCAGCAGTGTTTGCAGCAGAAGCTTATCAACGACGACGGCAGAACGAGCATTGACGACAGATGCAACAGCATCGGCGACGCTCTTGTACAAGCCCACAAAGACTACGAAGCACACCGAGGCACAACTCCGCAACGCCACGGGCACGAAGACCATGTCGACCTAGACCAGAATCTACGAGAGCTCATCGAACAACGACGCAGCACAACACACCAAGACACAGACACACGGACTACGCTCAGCAAGCTCATCTCGAAACAACTCCGACACATCCGAAGCACGCGCACGCAGGCCAAGCTGGAGGCGATCGTCTGCCAGTTCAAGAATTTAAACAACATCGCCGGGCTAGAAACATCAAAACGCAAGACATGATCGCGTCGATGACGGCTGAGACCAGCAGCGAGGCCACCGACAGACAGGTCATCGCGGACATCTTTGCAGCTTTTTACAAGAGATTGTACCGAGACCCAGAGAGCACAAATAGAAGAAACGCAAATGGAACAACGACGGCAACATCCGACATACCAGCGTTCAGTGCAGACGAACTCCGACGCGCCATCAAACAACTAAAGAGCGGCAAATGCAGCGACACCGCGGGAGTCACAGCAGAATTACTCAAGGCAGGCGGAGCAGTCCTCGAACAACACTTACTCCAGCTCTACAATGATATAATCAAGCCGGACCAACCACCGCCCGAACAATGGAGCAAAAACAACGATCACGGTCATTTTCAAGTCTGGCGACCCCAAATTACCATACAATCACAGACCGATTGCTATTATCCCTCTGCTGAGCAAGCTAATGTCACACCTCCTATGCAACCGGTTGGAAGCCACATTTTATTCACACCAGAGCGCAGACCAGGCTGGTTTCAGGCGAGGCTTCAGCACAGACGACCACCTCTTCACCACGACAATGTTGCACGAGAAATCGCACGCATGGCAGCTACTTCTGTGGGCAGCAGCGATCGACTTCAAAAGGTTTTCGGTTGCGTAGATTACCAGGTCTGTACGACGACCAGACAGCCAATGTCAGAACAAACGCCAGCAGAGAACAAATACCAGCAGCAGAAGTTTCTGCATTCAGCGAGGAGTGAAGCAGGGCGACCCACTCAGCTCCTTCCTCCTCAACGCGCTTCTAGAGCATGTGTTCAGGCAGCTCAAGCCCAGCTGGCGCCCGGAGAGACTTTGGCATCAAACTTGCCTTCGCCCGTGAGACGAGCATCCCGAACCTACGCTTCGCAGACGACATTCTTCTGTACGCCCCGAACCTGCGGCAACTTCCTTACTTACTGCGGGACCTCAAAAAAGAGGCATCCAACTGCGGACTATCACTGCGCCCCAATAAGACCAAGATGTTCACAAATGTCAGCCGGACGAAGGGGAGAACAATCTCATTCATAGTTTTGGACGGGGCACCTATCGACATCTCGCCTTCCGACTAAGCACGAAATACTTGGGAAGAAAGTTGTCGTTTCATGAGTCCCATGCCACTGAGCTGCAACACAAGATCCTATGTGGATGGTGCAGGTTCAACCAATTGCGACCAGAGCTTACAAACAAGCGGCTTCCATTACACAGCAGGTTGAAACTCTTCAACGGCACGGCACGAGCGTTATGTATGGATGCTCCTCTGGGGCCCTCGCAAAAGATATGTAGGTCGCATAACAGCGGGTGCAGCGGAAAAGGCTGAGACTTGTTATAGGCACGTCACAACATCAGCGCCGACAGAAGCACCGAAAACGGCATCGGGCCACACAGCCAGAGCGACAGCGACAACGGCGGCGACGACTTGGAATCTTGTCTACATTTTGATCGTAGAAGTACTACCACCGCCGTGGCATTGGCGAAACGGGCGCGGGCCGACGACAGGACAAATTGTCTACTGCAAGCGCCAGTGGACATCTGCTGCCCGCGTCGCCTGCCACGACCCCGACAGATGGGCACGACTGAGCGCCAGCTGGGGCCCAAGTTTGCACGACTCGCGCCCCGCTTGTCGCCGACATGGGGGACAGAAGAAGAATAGGTCAGAGCCCCGAATGATCAGGGGTAACTCGGGTCAGGGCTCACTCGGGTTGGTTTTTCTGGATTCCGAACCCGACTTACCCTGGACCCGGCTTACCCCGGATAATTCGGGCGTCCAGAGCCCCGAATCATCAGGGGTAACTCGGGTCAGGGCTAATTCGGGTTCGTTTTTCGGGATCCCGAACCCGACTTACCCCGGACCCGAGTCACCCCGGATAGTTCGGGCGCCCAAATGGGTGGGACGACGACATCGTTTCCTTCTTACGCTCGGAGACTGACGCAGACAGCGATACACAGCGGTGGCAACTCGCCCAGAATCGGCAATCGTAGGGCAACCGAGGAGAATCCTTCCTAAACTATATGCGTTGTTTTATCCACTCCGACCATCACTGTTGAACACACCGACTCCTGTTCTTGTCCCTCCGACTCGTGCTTCTACCGCCAGGCTCCCACCGACTCCGGCTCCCTCGTCTCCGACTCCGACTCTCAGTTTCCCCGACTCCAGCTCCCATGTTTTCCGACTCCTACTCTCATCTTTCCGATTTTGGCTACTTTTTCTCCGACCCCGGCTCCTATCTCTCCGACTCTGGCTCTCATTTTTCCGACTCCGGCTCCTGCCCACGCGATTCCGACACCCGTGACTATCTTCCGACTCTTGCGCGTATTTTTCCGATTCTTTCCCGGCAGCTATGTTAAATTCCCGCTATTTGAGCATATTTTTCCGATTCCTGCGTTCTGTCCAGTCGTCGACCTCCAGCTGCTCGTCTCCTGAGGGGTCCGGCCCCCCCGCGCTGCCCTTTTAGGGCCGGTCCGGTCGGACCGTCTGCGCGTTCGGGTTCGAGTCACGGATGTATATTGCTTAGAAACGTGTGCTCCCCCCCGCCCATTTCTCCATCTTCCCCCTCCCCATCTCCTCTCCGGCTCCACCTCGCCGACGACCAGCGGGGCGCGCCGCAGATGATGTTTGTGAAGTGGCTCGGCTTCACAGCCTGGCTCACGCGAAGGCGCCCCCCTCCCCCGCGTGCTCTGGCGATTCTGGGCGGCTTTGCGGACTGAGTGGAGGGCAGGGGAGGGACATTGGTTGGATGGGGGACTAGAAATAGGAGGATGGAGGACGAGGGCGGAGGAAGGGGAAGGGCAGGGGAAAGGGGACGCGGAAGGGGAATGGGATGGAGTTGATCAACATGTTCCAGGGTATGGTGTGGGACCAGGTTTCTGGAGTATTTTCTCACGGTGAAGCGGCCAGACTGATCTAGAAGCGTTTATTCACTGAAGTCTGATCCGTAGACGGCCTCAACGCGTTCAGAGAATACAGGCCGAACTTTCCGAGGCAGTGCATCTGCGGGGACACGACGGTGAGCCAGGCCAAGTTGCACGCATGGGGGCGAGCTAACTACGTCTCTTCCGATGCTGGGAAGGAGTCGCAGCACATTGTGTCCAGATTGCGTCCGTATGGCACTTGGTTTGAGCTCTTGCGATGATGACGAGTGGCGCGTTCGGTTATTTACTTGACTAAGTGCTGAATGTGAGAGCTGACAGTGGTTCTGCGCACGCACCGGTTCAACACGGGAGCAAGTAGTTGCCCTATACCAGGCGCAGCTCTTGTCTTGCATTGAGTACCGGGCGGCAGCAATTCAGTCATGCGTGTGATTCGGTTTTGGCATATAAACTGACAAGGCAGCGGGCGCCTTTCGCTCCGAGGGTTCAGCCCTGCGCTCCTGTCTGCGTGCTGGGATATGCCGCTGTTGGGACTCATGCGCAGGACTGTCTTGGTCAGAGGGCCGCGGTACTTTCGGGAATTATTCGAGCTGAGCAACGATGTCGCGAAGGCGTCCAGCAGGACGCGCCGTTTGCAGCTGCGGGAGTGCCAGGATGGGCGTTGGTGGGCCGATTTCGCTTCATCACATTCTCGCCCGACTAATTACATTCAGCGTTATCTGTTGGATTCGTTTGCGTTTGCACTCGCATGCTGGCCAGAGTCGTCGAAGGGTCCAGAACAGTTTTTCTTTCTTTCAACGCGGACTGCAAGATCTTCTCCGGCATACAGTGCCAGTATTAATACATGTTCCGCGTGCGGATCATGCATTAAACATGCAGGGAGTTAGTATCAAAGGCAACGATGAGTTCATGCATACATTTGTTCTATCTGTTAAAAAAATCCATATGTTAAAACATCCGGAAACCTACATTTAATTAATCATGCATCAACAATTTTATATGTTTAAACATCCGATGTATTAAAAACTGCCCTGTGGGGAGCCAGAGCGGGCGAGGCCGTTCGGCCTGCGTGGGCCTCCGCGCCCGGCGCGTCACATGGCCGTGCTGCGCCCGCCGCTCCAGGCCCCCCGCGCGGAGCTGGCGCCCCCGCGCGCGAAGTGAGGTCAACGGTCGGGAAAACGTAAGACTCGGGCAGGCCAGAACTCGGGTTTGCCGATTTTTTTTGACGAGCGCGTCCTGAATTTTGACGGTCCCGTTTCCGTGGGATGTCTGCAGCGGGAGCCCGCGTCAAATTTCAGATCGGGTCTCGTCATTTGTATGATGGCCCCCGTCAGGCCAACCCGAGTCCCCCGTGACCGAGTCTTACGTCTCCCCGAAATGGGCACTGCGCTCCAGGAGGGAAAAAAAACACACAGACACAATTCATCGTCGATTCCCCCGAAAAGATGGGAAACTATGGGAAGTGGGGGGGAAGGCAAACAAAAACCAGAACATATGGGAAAACATGGGGAATCTCTGCATTTGTGTGTGTATTTATCTGTGTGTCCCAGGGCCCCTTCAGCATCGCTCACACAGGCCGCGGGCGGTGCACCCGAAGAGGGCAAGCGCCCGTTCCCGACCGGAGGAGGAGGAGGAGGAGGAGGAGGAGGAGGAGGAGGAGGAGGAGGAGGAGGAGGAGGAGGAGGAGGAGGAGGAGGAGGAGGAGGAGGAGGAGGAGGAGGAGGAGGAGGAGGAGGAGGAGGAGGAGGAGGAGGAGGAGGAGGAGGAGGAGGAGGAGGAGGAGGAGGAGGAGGAGGCTGTCACGATGCCCCTGCGCGACCCCGACCAGCCACAGCCAGGAACCTCAGGGCGTCTCTCCCTCTCGACGCCCAGGACGCGTCCGGCGCGCCTGCCTGGCGGGCCACGGCTTCGGCGGCCGAATCGCGGGGCACGGCTTCGGTGTGCCTCCGTCGCCCGTGCTGCGGTCTCCGCCTCCTCCTCCTCCTCCTCCTCCTCTCCTCCTCCCTCCTCCCTCCTCCTCCTCCTCCTCCTCCTCCTCCTCCTCCTCCTCCTCCGGCCTCCGCCGCGTTAGCCTTTGGGCGAGGAGGATGGTGCGGGCCGGACAGAAGGGGGGGATGGGGAGAGAGGGGGGTACGAAATTCGCCGCATGCCGCTGATTTCGGCTTCCCCAAGGGGCCCATTCCTCGACACATGGACGCCTCCGGCGCCGGGAGGCGCCGGGAAAATCAGCTACGTGAGCTGATTCTCAACCCCCCCCTTTGCTATCCCCCCCTTTCGCCCGACCCGAATGGTGCACGCCCACGCGCCGATCTCGGTCGGGCCCGTCCAGGGCTCAGGATCGGTGCGCAGGCCTCCCTGGGCTCGGCATCGCTCGGACGTGTGCATTTCTCTTTCGGCGAGGACCATCGAGGAGCATCCTTGATCATTTGGCGAAAAAGCCATGCACGAAACCGAACAACAACACGGGGAATGGGCGTCCGAGCGATGGCGAGTGGGCGAGCCAGGTGGGCGCCGAGCCAGGAGGGCGCATTCACCGAGCCTGGGCTCAGGACGGGCCTGGCCACGATCAATGTCAGGGCACACCTTTCTTCTGTCAGTTGCGCGCCCAGCGCCGCGAGCCTTTGCCCTGCCATCCTCTCGGCCCTCTCATCCGTCAGACACCTCGAGAACCTGCACACGCTCCCGTTCATAGCCGCGCCCTCGGTGTGTCTCCCTGGAGGGTTTGCTATGTTTCTCCGACCGGCTTGCGAGGATCATCGCCGTCGGCGGAACCGTGTACACCCTTCCCGCCGCTGGCCTCGATGCCCTCGTGTGCGCCTCGTCGAGGGCGCTCCGGGGGTGCCCAGCCAGCGCTCGCCAGATGTCCGCCGCCAATTCCCAGCATTTTGTGCTGCGCGGCGACGGGGAGGGAGAAAGGGAACGAAAAGCAAGCATGCGATGGCGAGTGGGGGGGCAAGGCCGATGGAGGTGAAAGCGAGGGAGAGGAAGAGGAGGACAGCAGGAAATCGAGGAGGAGAGGGAGGAAATCGAGGAGGAGGAGGAGGAGGAGGAATAGGAGGAAGAGGAGGAGGAAGAGGTGGAGCAGGAGGAGGAGGAGTAGGAGCAGGAGGAGGAGAACAAGGAAACGTAGTATTCATAACCAGAAGAAGCAGGATATGACCAGTATTAAACATGATAACAAACTAATGTTAATCAGATTCATAAGCATTGTCAGCATACTACCAATAATCGTGCATCGTATACTAATATCAATCACACCAATATTTGTACTATT